CCTTTGGGAGAATAGAAGGCAAATATCCCCGCCTATCACGCTTATGTCCTCAGTACTCTTGTGCTCTCTGTATTCTTGTGCTCTCTGTATTCTTGTGCTCTCTGTACTCTTGTTCTCTCTGTATTTTTATGCTCTCTGTACTCTTGTGCTCTCTGTATTCTTGTGCTCTCTGTACTCTTGTGCTCTCTGTATTCTTGTGCTCTCTGTATTCTTGTGCTCTCTGTATTCTTGTGCTCTCTGTATTCTTGTGCTCTTTGTACTCTTATGCTCTCTGTACTCTTATGCTCTCTGTACTCTTATGTTCTCAGTACTCTTATGTCCTCGACACTCTTATGTCCTCGGTATTCTTATGTCATCGGCACTCTTATGTCCTCGGTATTCTTATGTCATCGGCACTCTTATGTCCTCGGTATTCTTATGTCCTCGACACTCTTATGTCCTCGGTATTCTTATGTCATCGGCACTCTTGTGTCCTCGGTATTCTTGTGCCTTCAGTATTCTTATGTTCTCGGCACTCTTATGTCCTCGGTATTCTTATGTCATCGGCACTCTTGTGTCCTCAGTAACAACGATTCTCAGTATTGAACTCAGTATTCCATATAACAAGAAAGAAAAGACAAAAATACTGGGACTCTTAAAGATTTGAATAGCAAGGTAGATTGGCTAATAAACAGCATCTTGTCTCGGAAACTGAAATATTTGGGCCATATCAAGCACCACGTTGGATCAGATCGAAGAATAACAGAGAATATGTAGCAGAAAAGAGGGGCAGGGGCCGACCAGCTCGAACATATAATATAACACATTGGGTAGGAAAATGCAGCAAGCGAGAGACCGTTTCTTTCAGGCAGGCTGTGATGAGATCGACGTTCTGCAAAGGACCTGCTACGTGATCATAATTCTTGACGCTGTTCATTTTTTTTTTTTTTTTTGCGTGGGTTTGTCACCTTCGCACTGCTATCATTATACTTCACCAATGTGGCGCGGTGATTTATGTCACAGGCGTGAGGGGAAGTTAAGTCCAACATGATGTGTATAAGGAGATACTCCGTACGTCACTCGGGCGCCAGTCCTTTAATATCCTGGTTGTATGGAACCTCACGCAAGACCCCGGCAGCACGTCCTCGTCGTGCGCCACGGATAATGTCTCAAATGAGCATTAACAGAGCTGCCAGGGGATCTCGAAGTTTGGCGGCCCCCAGAGGTGATGTCAAATGAGCATTAACAGAGCTGCCAGGGGATCTCGAAGTTTGGCGGCCCCCAGAGGTGATGTGTCCTTGTGGCTCTCATCAGCCCGCCCCCAAACGCTTGGGTGAAAAAATTGTTATCAAAAATCATTAGGAACATGAGTAGGTCTGCCAAACGTACAGCCAAAATTACAACCCTTGGTTAAAAGACTGCGGAATAAAGAGAACATTGTTCACTGCACATCCTCTGTTAACCCTCAGTGTCGTCGTCACCGCGCTGGGGTACACCACAACAGCAACCATCCATAGGCTGGCCATTCATGTACATCCTTGGTTAACCCTCAGTGTCGTCGTCACCGCGCTGTGGTACACCACAACAGCAACCATCCATAAGCTGGCCATTCATGTCCTTGGAAAACCCTCAGTGTCGTCGTCACCGCGCTGTGGTACACCACAACAGCAACCATCCATCGATCGGATGGCTAAGCCTAAATTTCGGACAAAACTAGATCATACGGATCAAAATCTGACCTCAAAATTTGAATTGAACTGAAAAAGACCGAATGCCCACACCCAAAGACACCACTCGCCCGAGTGTTGGGACAAAACTGATAACGATATGCCTGATGCAGGATGTAAAATCTGTCGGGCTAACGGCTCGTCAAAGAAATCTAACGTGCGAGGAAAAAAGAATGTACCTATCTGTGTGGTTACAAAAGTCCAAAACCCGCGGGCTGCTCCCCGCTGACCCCCAGAGGGCGCAGCCCCTGTCGAGCGGGAGGCCTGATACGGTTGTGAGGTTAAGCAGGCTTGTGCAGGACGTGACGATTCCTTGGGTGAGCCCAGAAACAGAGCGCCATGTGTCGGCTCTGCATACATGGATGCCTCCTTGGATGGCGGGGAATGCCCAAGATCTGCCCCCGCCTTCCCTTGAGGGCTAACTGTTCCACAGGGGGCCAACCCAAAGGGGTACTCCGGGGGCAATACCTGCGGCAAAGGAGACAAAGTGGACACCACACAAATCAGGCAACGTCTCGACCCACACAAAACAATGGCCACAGTCACCCTAGAAATAGGCATGACGTCTTCCTTCGAAGTCGGCGTACAGCTGCCCATGAGGCAGGGAAATAAAAAACGGTTGTACACGCAAAAATCAGGTCCAGGTGAAAGCCAAAAGTCCAAGCGGACGATTACCTGACCTTCCACTGGAATTCACAGCCGGTGTTCGATGAAAAAAAAAAAAGAAAGACTTCACCAATATCTCTCGTGAGTGTTAGTTTTAAAAAGTATATTTTTAATACGTGACACCCCTGTGTGGGTTCCGGATCCAAATTGTGGGGAAAACAAGAATAGACCCACTGCCTCCCCAAAAGCATGTCGTAAGAGTCGACTAACTGGGGAGCTTCCTTTGAAGTCGGAGTGCATCTGCCGGAGAGGCAAGGAACCAACATCTGTATTCAAGAGAATGAGATGTGTAAAACTGATGCACACGCAACACTCAGGTTCTGGAGCAGGACTGCAGTTCAGTAGTGGACGAGCAACCAGAACTTTCCGCCAGAGTGTACAGCTGGTGAACGCCAAGAGGAAGAAGAAGAAGAAGTGACAAAAATAGACTCCCTGCTCATTAGCAAGCATGTCGGAAAAGGCTATTAATTTAAGATTTGATGGAATCGGATTCTTCTTCTTTCTTCTTTGCGTTCACCGTCTTTAAACTCCGGCGGCAATTTTGGGTTGTTCTTGCACTTCTGGACTCTAGTCCTGTTCCAGAAACTGTTTGCGTGCATTTTCGTCTCACAGGTCTAAATTACTTGCATGCAGACTGTTGGTTTCTTTACTTTCAGGCAGATATACTCTGACTTCGAAGAAAGCTTCCATTTAGTCGACTCTTACGACATGCTTTTGGGCAGGCAGTGGGTCTGTTCTTGGTTTCCCCACAATGGGGCTCCGGAACCCACACGGGGAGAAATCGGATTTATTCGGCTTACAGGCGCAGATGTCATACATAGCCTAGCTGTACTGTAAACTATAACACAATATGCCAAATGGTCTGTCAACTTTGAAGAAAAAGAACCAGAATAGAAAGAAGAAGAAGAAAAAGAGTAAGAAGAAGAAGAAGAAAAAGAAGAAGAAGAAGAAGAAGAAGAAGAAGAAGAAGAAGAAGAAGAAGAAGAAGAAGAAGAAGAAGAAGAAGAAGAAGAAGAAGAAGAAGAAGAAGAAGAAGAAGAAGAAGAAGAAGAAGAAGAAGAAGAAGAAGAAGAAGAAGAAGAAGAAGAAGAAGAAGAAGAAGAAGAAGAAGAAGAAGAAGAAGAAGAAGAAGAAGAAGAAGAAGAAACTGCTTGATCATTTTAATTGATGAGGACATTATTCAGCAGGTTTGTTTCCTTGAGGACACATGATTTGGTAATGAATGTGTACAAGTACCATTAGAGTACATCAGAAAATACAGTCACGACAGTCAAGCCGCTGTTGAGGCAGAATTGCAGGCTTGGATTTCCTAGATCCTTGAAGTCGGAGTACATCTTCGCAGGAGGCAGGGAATACGGTAAAACGGATGTACACGCAAAACTCAGGTCCTGGAACAAAGCCAGAAGTCCAAATGGACGAACAACCAGGACTTTCCGCCGGAGCTCACAGCTGGCGACCAAGAAGAAGATGATGATTTTCGAGAAATCTCTACGGGTGGTTGCTGTCATTTGCACAGATAGGTCTGTGATTTGCCATGTGAGAAGCTCTTGGGATTTTACGGCTCAGGTCATTTTAGTGACTAAAGCAGTAACATAACTGGAGACACAGTCCTTTTCCCATGAATGCTTTCTCAGTGACTCAGTACCAGGAGATTTTGGCCGACGCTCAACACCCAGGGGAAGGATGAGGCAGATATACAATCAGACGTTACTGGTAACTTCAGAATTTGAACTCTTCGCTTACTGCTGAAGATTGGGACTGAGCTTTTATGGGAGTGTCCTGGGTTCTGTGATGTCGATTCTTAATTCAATATTTAGTGACTCAATGAGTATGCGCAGGAAGATAGGCTGGATCCGAAGACAGAGGCTGGAATGTTTAAAGCGATTGGGGCGACGCATCAGTTTAATATGTGTGCCAGGGCACGCAGACATGCAAGGAAATGATCAAGCTGATGGGCTTGCAGGTAAAGCAACTGTGGAAAGTGGATGAGACATCGGCAAGACAAATCTGAGCATACGAAACCGAACGCAAAGAAGAAAAAGAAGAATGCTTTACGAGAAGTAAAATGTTTGCAAGAACCATATCAATAAATCAATCAGGTGCCGTCTCCACAATGAAGGTTGACTGCAATGGATCTCCAACAAGCCCTGTCTCTTGCCCTTGATGTACACTCACTCTGCTGTTCGTCCATCCATTGATGTTATTCTCCCACTTGTAACGCTGTCTGCCTCTTGCTCGCCTACCTTGAACATTTCCCTCTAGGATGCTCTTTACAATACTGTTATGTTTTTTAATGTGGCCAAAATATTTCACTTGTCTCTTTTTTTATTGCAAGAACCATAACCAGACTGCAAAAACAAGTTAAAAGAGGTGTGACCAGACAAGAGCACTTCGCCGAGGCCAAAGACGAATGATAAACCAACATATAACTGGCGTCGTCAGCCGCTATACGCTGCGGGTATTTACTGAGAAGGGGATCCGAGCAGCTAAGAATGCAATGTTTCGACGTGTAATGATGATAATCTGTCGACTAGCTAATTGCTTAAAGTTTAACTTGATGCGTTGTGAAAATCAGGACAACAGGCATCTTAAAGACAGGAAGTGACGTCTGAACAACAGCCGAGCAAAATGGCGAGCATCGACGATTTGAAAACATACGAGTTGCAATTGCAGCAGGTCAGTTCACAGTTACATTACTATAACAATTCAGAAAATTATATAATAATTGTAAGATGTGATATTTGGTGTTGTATTCCACTGTTAGTGTTTCGTAGTCGACGTCTCCGGTTTTCATAATTCATAATTAGAACGTGCATTTGCTGTGTTTACACACACTACTCACTCTGTTGTGTGCACGGTTTGACGGGTTTGTGCTGTAAAAGTTAGTTAGAACTAGAACATCGCTGTCAGTTTTCACTGGGCCGCTCTGAAAGTACTGTCCTTCCTCAGTTCTGTCCTGTTACTACATAACAGGGTTTGGAAAGACTGTCTTTCTTTAGTTCTGTTGCACAGTTACTACATCACAGCCTGAATCTTCGTCTCTTGTCAAACGTCCTGTTTTCGTCCTTATCCGCTCTGTATGCTGAACTTGGCTGGTGTAGTCGTTCATAAATGGGTAATGGGCATCTATCTGCCATGAAGTTTGTGGTTCTGCTATCCAGATTGAGATTTTGTTTGAAAAACTTAGGATGGTAGATATTTTCAACCGTTAGGTAGCAGAACAACAAATTAAGTGGTTTGGACACCTAACAAGAAGGCCCTGGTACTAGTGGTACTGGTACTATCTGCTACAGCGAGCCACACTAAAACGTTACAACAGGTTTAGAGCGACTGGAAGAGCTCGGAAAATATGGAGTGATGGCATTAAGAACAGCCTTACAGAAATGAACATCAGTCTTATAATGCTCTTGACAGAGATCATCAACGTACATTACGTCTCCACCCGACATTTCGATGAGGTACGAGGTGGAAGAGAAGAAGAAGAAAGTAGCAGCCTAGAGAGGAGAAACTAATTCATCGATCATCGTTTTTTGTCAGTTTACACATGGGGTTGATTAAATCAAACGGTGACCCTAAGAGTAAGAAATGCAATCTATTGTTTGTTTATGGCGACCCTTAGGAACACAGTCCTTAAAAAAGACGGCTCTCCTCCGAACTTCTACCCTATATTATGGCGGCCATGCAAATAGCCTAACAGGACCTCAGTCATGTGTAAAATGTGGACTGTCTGCCAAGGAACAAATCGCGGCAAAACTAGGACTACTTGACAATTTCAAGAGTCGCAACATTGCAGACGATAGTACCAGACAATAATAGCGACCGTTGACAATTTCAAGCATTTCTCCAGACGACACTAGCAGACGATAATAGTGACCATTGACAATTTCGAGACATGCAACATTACAGATGATAATAGCCACAGGGCGGGGAGACCACACGCTCCGACGCAGATTAGCGTCATTGTTGTCCTGTTAGAGCATTTGTTTCGTTATTTAGAGTCGATCTTAGTTTTGCCGCAATTTGTTCCTTGGCAGAAAGTCCACATTGAGGCCCCTTTGGGGTATTTTCTTAGCCTCGATAATTTGGGCCCGTTATTCGGAAGATAGCCGTGCTCTGTAATATTTAATATTGTTTCAGGTTAGGGTTTCGTTCTTATATTATATTGTGACTCCCAGGCCGACCCAGCCATAAATGGGTGCCAGGTAAAGACCTGGGAAGTAAAGATGGCCAGCGTGATGCAGACCACATCACCCACCAAGTGCCGATTGGTCTATAAAAATAGAAAGTCGAACCCTGTATTCCCAACACACCTAAAGAATTGGAAAAGGGACTTTTACTAATACTTACAATATATTGTGTCCTTTAGGGTCACGATTGGAAGTTTTGCCAAAAACTTGTCTGTGAAGCAAGATACAGTTAAAAAAGCATACATATGATTGCAAATTTTTTGACGTTGGTGTTTGCATTCACCGGCTGTAAACCCCGTCAGAAAGTCCTGGTGGTTCATCCATTTCAGGACTTTGGCATTGTTCCAGGACCTTAGTTTTGCATAACAATCCATTTTACAGGTCTTATCTAATTGTGTGCAGACTGTTGGTTCCTTGCCTTTCAGGCAGATGTACTCCGACTTTTTTTTAAGGAAACCACCAATTAATCTTCTCTTATGACATACTTGTTAGGAAGGCAGCTGGTCAATCCTTGTTTTCCCCAAATTGGGACCCTGGAACTTACACGGTGGATGATTTTCTAATGACTTCAGAAACTGTTTCTTTCTCAGGTTGAGGCTGCCCTCACAAGTGATCCAGCAAACGAAGAACTCCTCAAGCTTCAGAAGGATTTGAAGGTGAGGAATATTTTGAACATGACATCAGCTCTGTACTCACATAGATTTAAATTCACATGTTGCTTAGAAGGAAGCATTGGACAGTATATCTGTGTCTCTGTAACAGGTGCTGGTATAACATTGCTTTCTTGCTCAAGTTCGGTTAGCATATTATGTTGTAGTTTACAGTTAGGTTGTGATATCTGTGCCTCTCGACCCAAAACATTTAATTTCAGCAGATGTTTTCTTATTTTTCTTCTCCAAAATGGAACCCATATGGGGAAGGTAGCATTGACAGTACTCGAGTTGGTAAAGTAATAATAAACTGATAGTGCTTATGTTAGGCAGCTACGGTGTGGTCCATTCGGCCACTGACTGTACTCACAGGGTTGTGACAGTGTATATAATATTTCATCTTTAGAACATGGGCAAGAGAAGGTTCTAACCATCAGCATTTTTAGCACTTGACAGATTCTGTAAAAACGGGGGGGGGGGGGGGGGGGGGGGGGGGGGGGGCTGAGGATTTAAGGCTGCCTGGTTAATGCAGTCACCACCTTCTGTGCAGGGTAGGATTTGACCCCCTTTCTCAAGCAGCAAAGAAATCTGTCACATTTACTGAGGATTCAAACCTGGTTCTCCCGAATGAGAGCAGCAGATTCTTAACCTCTCGACCTTCCACTCAGCATTCTCAAATGATAGAGATAGAATGTACATCTTCTCTTTTATGTTGTATCATTTAAGCTTCTAGTATGATCATACTGCAAATTATATTTGTTTTTACATCCTTCATTTTAATAGTATGTGTACTACCATTGTGCTGTTGTGTCTGCAGCTCTGTGTTAAAGGGATTAATTTGGATATAAATGCACAAATGTTTCAGAAGAATGTGCAGAATTAACTCTCTGGGTATCTAGGAGCACATCGTGGGTTGATTAATAACTAAATTAACTCTCCTTTCGTTTCAAAAGAGTTAACCTGCTTTTATAATACTCTGTAATACATATTAACTGATGGCTTAGGGAAAGAGCATTTATGCATTGTATAGTTTTAATTTTTAGTGAAGTATGTCACTAGACACTTTAGCATTTGTAATTAATCAGACATAAGATATCTCTACACTCTCAGTACCTTAGACAAGGCCAAATTCGTCATCTTTTTCTTCTTGTTAGCATTCACCGGCTGTAAACTCTGGTTGTTCGTCCACTTCTGGACTTTAATCTTTTCCCCTGAACTTGAGTTTTGCGTGCACATCCTTTTTACAGATCTGCTTATTTGTGTGTAGTCTGTTGGTTCCTGGTCACTCAGGCAAATACACTCTAGGTTTGGCGGAAAATCCCTGGTTAGTAACCTTTTACAACATGCCTCATAGGGAGGTAGTGGGTTGTTCTCTCCCCGCCCCCTCCCCTTAGAACCGCCATGGGGAGAATGAACTTAACTTGCCCAAGCTCGACACAACAGCACAATCCCTGTCTTAGTTACTTAACAAAGTAATGAGAAGAGAACTGTTCGCCTCACATCGTCTAAGCTCAATAAACATTGCAGTTGAACAATCCAAATGTAATTTGTGCTAGACTTTTATATTCTAGATCATGCATCGACAAGGGTGAGCATGATAAAAGAAGCCCCCGACAGGATTCATGTTGTTCTAGTCTATAAGCTGCCGCAAGTGTAAGTATGGGCGTCCATTCATCCCAGTTATTTATATCTGCCACTGAGCACTGGGTTTGATGGAGAGATGGGTGACTGACTGACTTGACGCCCGTTTTGTATGGTGATTAACATGATAGAACTGCTTTAGTATAATTGCTCTTTGTTCATTAGTGTCAAGATAGTTAATGAAATTTGTTTGTTTTACAACACTTATTGAAACTGTTTGTTTTACAAGTTATTGAAATTGTTTTGCAACAGTTATTCAGTAAAATCTTATTATGTAGCGTGTCCTTTACGGAATGCTTTCATCTTGTTCTGCCTGAAAGAAACTTGGTTTCTCGCCAGCTCTCTCTCGTCTTGTGCTCTTTCCTAATCAAGGTGTCACGTATATCCTGTACCCATTTTCATGTCGCCCGGCCCTCGTCTCTCTTTCCTGGTACCCTGACGTCTACTATTAGTTTTTCCAATATGCTATGGCGTTTGATATGGCCAAAATATTTCAGCAAGATGCTGTTCCCTAGCCAATCCTGCTTGATTGTCAGCCATTTTAGGATGTCAGTATTTTTTTCTTCTTTCTCTATGGTATTTTGAGAATATTTCTGTAGCAATTCAACTCAAAAGCCAAATTGTTTCTTCCTTAAAGACTGAGAGATAGTCCACGACTCACGTTGGTATATTCCTGCATGGAGGATGCATGCTGTCATCATTTTAACTTTTGATTGTCTTACTGGTGCTCACCATAGACTTATGTTAGTCTTAATATGTTGGACTATTTCTGTTGTTATCTTAATGAAACAGGTTCTCAGGCAACTCATAGCAGACCATCTAAACCTATTGCTGTTCTTTCTAGTCCCTTTCTTATCCTTCTTGGGGATGCAGAGCTGCTGAACCACATAACACCTGTGCACCTCTGTTTTATAGATCTGGCTTATTTATATGCAGACTGTTGGTTCCTTGCTTCTCAGGCAGATGCACTCTGGTTTTTAAGGAACATTATGGAATGAGAAATGCTGCTTCACCCTGTTTTTATGAGGTGTCTGTGATTGTAATTAGGAGATGTATGTTTTTAGATTTAAAAAGAGTTAAGGATAGTTTTTCTCATCTCGGGTGTGTTGGACATATTGTGCTTGCGATATATTTATTTAATAATCATAACTTGATAGGTGATACCCAGTATCTTGCTGGGTGTCTTTAACAGTTTTGTTGTGATGACCTCGGAAAAAACAAAGCCACGTTCCCGTACTTTCCATTTTTAGGATGTAGCCAGAAAAATTCTGTATCAAAACAAACAATTTACACATGTTTAAAAAAAAAAACCCCACAGAAGATCAATCATATTATCTAAAACACAAATAAATAGTATAAAGAGTAAGAGAAGTAATAGGGAAAAAAATTAAGACAGCGAAGAATCAGCTGGTTTACATCTCTTGAGGCCTGTGAACTAACTATCGTGTGATGCTTACTGGATCCTCTGAACCGGTAACCAATGGAAAAATATGTCATGGAATGTTACAAAGCCATTTTTTCAGGAATGAAACCTCTAAAAATGCTATTTTTAAAGTAAATTTAGCCATCCCTTATCATTCTAAATGTTTGTGCACACACAGATGCAATGAAATCTGTTAACTAGACTCTTGTCACCATGTGACTAGTGAGTCGGGAAAGCGGCTTTTAGGGGGAAATCTCACCAACCAGAAGTGTAAGTTTTGTGGCTTCTCTGGGTGAAACTGCTTGTATTTACCACTTAGTGGGCTAGGATGGGGGAGGGTCGTGAGCCTGGGGTTAGGGTCATGTGCTAATGTAGTCGCAAACTGTGCAGGTCTGGGTTTTTGTGTGTGTGTGGGGGAGGGATCTCCTCCCCCACCCCGGATGAAAATGGAGTCCCCCGCATGAGAGCCAAGCATACATTGCACTAGGTGATTTGGCATAGTGCCAACAATATTGAATCTTCAGTTCATCTATGGACAATGAAGTCACTGAAGATGTTCCTAAAGGGGGTAGACTTGTATTATATGTATTTCGTTTTAGTACTATCAAGTGTTCTCTCTGTATTCATTTCTGGTGCCATTTGTGTGACCTGCAGGAGGTTATCCAGCTGACCACTGAGCTTCTGTCTGTACCCAGTGCCCCTGCAAAGAGTTCTGGCACCACTGCTTCATCGGCTTCCCGAGGGTTTGTGCCCAAGGCTGATGCAGGCTCTTCAGATGAGCATGCACCAGACTGGAAAGTTGGAGACAGATGTATGGCTTTGTGGGAGGATGATAGCCAGTAAGTTGTTTGCTTTTGTGTTTATTTTGGGAAAATTTATCCCCAGTTGAATATATGCAGATAAATCTATAGATCCCTGTGTGTGTTCCAAGGCCCTATTATAGGGAAAACAAGAATAGACCCACTGCCTACCCAAAAGCATGTCGTAAGAGTCGACTAAGTGGGAGCTTCCTTCGAAGCCGGAGTGCATCTGCCTGAGAGGAACCAGCAATCTGCACACAAATGTGTCAGATTTGTCAAATGGATGCACACGCAACAATCAGGTTCTGGGACAAGACTGCTTTCCACAAGTGGACGAACAACCAGAACTTTCCATCAGAGTTTACAGCTGGTGAACATAGTTTGTTAGACTCCGATCATGAGCTTATCATGAAATGTCTGTCAAGGATATTCAAGTGTGTGGGATGAGTAGGCTGATAGATTGGCTGCTGCTGCTGCTCCTCTGATCGATGATCTACTTTATTATAAAGTGGATGTGGGGAATGCATTCCAAGATCAAGTGAACACAGCAACAGATCAGGGTATCCGTAGCTTTAAACTGATTCAGCGAAGGATGGTCAGAGGTTCTGGTAGACTCTGCTGGCACCTGTATTATTATTTTTTGTATGGATTTCTGGATCTTGTTGTGGGGGAAAACAAGAATAGACCCACTGCCTCTCCAGCAAGCATGTGGTAAGAGTCAACTTTGGGGGGGGGGGGGCATCCTTCGGATTGCATTTGCCTGAGAGGCAAGGAACCAACAGTCTGCATACAAATATGTCAGATCTGTAAAATGGATGTGCATGCAGGACTCAGGCTCTGGAACAAGACTTAAGTCCAGAAGTGGACGAATAACCAGAACTTTCCACCAGAGCTTACAATCCATGAACACACAGACATAGGAGATAATTTGACCTATCCTGTATTCTTCTTCTTCACTTTACTACTTTACTACACCCCCCCCCCCCCCCCCCCCCCCCAACCCCTCCGAACCCCTACCCTTTCCCATTGGTCCAAAGGCTCTCACTTACCTCATCCAAAACTCTCCTCTATTTTGGCATCGCCTAAAACTCTCTCCTCTATGTCTTGTACCTCATTATTCATCTCTAACAGCGTGTATCAATTTAGAAATTGTGTTTAATGAAATTCATACAGGGCCGACTTTTTTTTTTTAGTGTAACCGGAGTGAAAGGGTTAACTGTTGTCTGTTACAGGTACTATGAAGCATTAATCGAGGAGGTCCTGGATGATGGTACCTGTACAGTCACCTACACTGGCTGGAACACCAGCACAGTCTGTCCTGTAAGTGTTTTAGACATATCAGGTGTATACCGTTATGTGTGATCTGTTTGCTGCCATTATCTCCTGTTGTATTCCCTCCCTGTAATCTCCTTGTTCTTTCCTCCCTGTAATCTACTTGTTCTTCCCTCCCTGTAATCTTCTTGTTCTTCCCTCCCTGTAATCTCCTTGCTCTTCCCTCCCTGTAATCTCCTTGTTCCTTCCTCCCTGTAATCTTCTTGTTCCTCCCTCCCTCCCTGTAATCTTCTTGTTCCTCCCTCCCTCCAATCTTCTTGTTCTTCCCTCCCTGTAATCTTCTTGTTCTTCCCTCCCTGTAATCTCCTTGTTCTTCCCTCCCTGTAATCTCCTTGCTCTTCCCTCCCTGTAATCTCCTTGTTCTTCCCTCCCTGTAATCTCCTTGTTCCTCCCTCCCTGTAATCTTCTTGTTCCTCCCTCCCTCCCTGTAATCTTCTTGTTCTTCCCTCCCTGTAATCTCCTTGTTCTTCCCTCCCTGTAATCTTTTTGTTCTTCCCTCCCTGTAATCTTTTTGTTCTTCCCTCCCTGTAATCTTTTTGTTCTTCCCTCTCTGTAATCTCCTTGTTCTTCCCTCCCTGTAATCTCCTTGTTCTTCCCACCCTGTAATCTTCTTGTTCTTCCCTCCCTGTAATCTTCAATTTCTTCCCTCCATGTAATCTTCTTGTTCTTTCAGTTCACCGGCTATAAACTCTGGCGGAAAGTTCTGGTTGTTCGTCCACTTCTGGACTTTTAGTCGTTTTACAGATATGACTTATTTGTTTGCTGCTGCTGGTTCCTTGCCTCTCAGGCAAGTACACTCCGACTTTGAAGGAAGCTCCCAGTTGGTCGACTCTTACGCCATGCTTTTGTGTAGGCAGTGGGTCTGTTCTTGTTTTCCCTACAGTAGGGCCCCGAAACCCACACAGTAATCTCCCTGTAATTGTTTCCTTGCCTGTCTCATCTTATGTTTCCCTCCCTGTCTCACCTTGTTGTTCTTTTCCCCTCTCACCGTACTTTTCTCACTCCCTGTCACCTTATTTCCTAATTTATTAACTTCCAGCATTTGTTTCCCTCCCTGTCTCACCTTCTTATTTCCTTTCTAATTTATTCCCTTCTGTCACACCTTGTTATTTCCTCTGTATGTCATTTATTCCCTTGTCTCACTTGTTATTCCCTCCGTATGTCATTTATTCCCTCCTGTTAAATCTGATTATTCTCTCCATGTAATTTATTGCCTTCATATGCGATTTATTCCCTTCTGTCTCACCTTGTTATTTTCTGCATATGCCATTTATTTTCATCCTGTCTCACCTTGTTATTTCCTGCATATGCCATTTATTTTCATCCTGTCTCACCTTGTTATTTCCTGCATATGCCATTTATTTTCATCCTGTCTCACCTTGTTATTTCCTGCATGTGCCATTTATTTTCATCCTGTCTCACCTTGTTATTTCCTGCATATGCCATTTATTTTCATCCTGTCTCACCTTATTATTTCCTTCCTCATCTGTCATTCCCTCTCTGTCTCATCTTTCCCCCCCCCCCCCCCCCACCCCTTTTCATCTGTCTTATTTAGCAAATGAATTATATGTTGTCCAGTTTTATTTGAGACATCAGACATTGCAAGCATGCAGCATGTTTACACTTCAGTTTAGTCAAGGAATGACGGGTGATTCTAACAAATAAGACAACAGGCAAGCTTGTTTGGGGCCACTACTTTTAGATGCCTACTAGCCAATCTCTCAGCTCTTTATAATGTACAAGTGTAGATGTTTGTGCTGCTGTGATCAAAGTGTCATGTTATCTTAGAAGCCAGAGTGTGTCTGCCTGTGAAGTGAGATACCAGCAGTCTGCATATAGATGAGCTAGATGTGTAAAACAAATGTGCACACAAAACTTAAGTCTATAAGCGGACGAACAACCAGAGCCTTCTGCTTAAGTTTACAGCCAGGGAATGCAAAGAAGAAGATACATTAATGGGATAACAGAGATGGTCTTGTCAATCCATTGTGGAGCTAGTAGAACTATTTTTCAGCTTGTGGTGGAAAAGATTTTGGTAAGAGTGTCTGTACTTTATATCCTTGTACCAGGTGTGAGTCTCTGCTGTAGTGAGTTTGCTCAGATGGGCCGTAGTTTATATCCTTGTACCAGGTGTGAGTCTCTGCTGTAGTGAGTTTGCTCAGATGGGCCGTAGTTTATATCCTTGTACCAGGTGTGAGTCTCTGCTGTAGTGAGTTTGCTCAGATGGGCTGTAGTTTATATCCTTGTACCAGGTGTGAGTCTCTGCTGTAGTGAGTTTGCTCAGATGGGCCGTAGTTTATATCCTTGTACCAGGTGTGAGTCTGTGTCATTGTGAGATTGCTAAGATGGGCCGTAGTTTATATCCTTGTACCAGGTGTGAGTCTGTGTCATTGTGAGATTGCTAAGATGGGCCGTAGTTTATATCCTTGTACCAGGTGTGTTTGCTAAGATGGGCCGTAGTTTATATCCTTGTACCAGGTGTGAGTTTGCTAAGATGGGCCGTAGTTTATATCCTTGTACCAGGTGTGTTTGCTAAGATGGGCCGTAGTTTATATCCTTGTACCAGGTGTGTTTGCTAAGATGGGCCGTAGTTTATATCCTTGTACCAGGTGAGTTTGCTAAGATGGGCCGTAGTTTATATCCTTGTACCAGGTGTGTTTGCTAAGATGGGCCGTAGTTTATATCCTTGTACCAGGTGAGTTTGCTAAGATGGGCCGTAGTTTATATCCTTGTACCAGGTGTGAGTTTGCTAAGATGGGCCGTAGTTTATATCCTTGTACCAGGTGAGTTTGCTAAGATGGGCCGTAGTTTATATCCTTGTACCAGGTGAGTTTGCTAAGACGGGCCGTAGTTTATATCCTTGTACCAGGTGTGTTTGCTAAGATGGGCCGTAGTTTATATCCTTGTACCAGGTGTGAGTTTGCTAAGATGGGCCGTAGTTTATATCCTTGTACCAGGTGTGAGTCTGTGCTATTGTGAGGTTTAAAGAGCTGTTGATCAGAATGTTAATTTGTCCCATTGTTCAGATCTGGCAGCTCAAACCGTATGACCCTTTACTCAAAAGAGGTATTAAGGGAGACGCCGCAGCGGACGCCAAAAAATCAAAGTAAGCTTGCGTCTGTACTGGATTCTGTGTTTTTATTGTTTGAAGAAAGTTCAGCAGTGTTTATTTAGTTGTTAGTGTCATTCCTTACATGCTCCATTTCTGTGAGTATGGAAATCACACAAAATCTCTTTCAGTGATCCATTTGAAAACTAGCAACTAACTTGTAAGTCCCAGCAAAATCTTGAAGCTTGCACACTCAAAGTAAAAGTGCGTAAGGCAGCTGTCAGGTGTGCCAACGATAACTGCTGGTGAAGGTGGCCATATAAATAGTCCATGAACAAATACCGCTTTTTTGGAGACTTTCTGTCGGGGGCATCAATAAAATCTTAACCTTCACAAACTATGGTGCAGGGTGCAACTGCACAGTGTGTAGACGTGGTGGGTTTAATTATACCTAAAGCCAAATTTTCGGAATTGATTCTACAGCTGCGATGTCGCAGTATCCATCACACATGCCCGTCTTCTCAGTGCTGATAGGTTTTAAATCAGACATTGGGGGGGGGTGGGGGGGGGGGGGGGGTAGTCAAAGAAGAACCTGGAATGACAACATCAAGAAATGGACAGGATTAAGTTATCGTACACTTATTCATCAAGCAGAAGACAGAGAATGATGGCGGGTTTTATGTTCTAGTGCATCCATCATTACACCTCCACGACCCTAATGGGTCAGAGGTTATGTTTTGTAGGTTTAAAATCCTCAGAGTTCTTATAAAAACTGACCAAGGCTCTTCTGCTCTTCCTCAAGTTTATTAGGGTGGAGTTTCATGGCACACGGGTGGTAACTAGTAAGTGCTCCATTCTACTTCTAATTCAAGCCTGAGTCTGAAGAATCTCAGAACAGTGCACGAACTCCGTTGCACTTGCGAGGATACTGAAATACTCGAGGTAGAATTTTAACTCTCAATTTTGCCTGGGCAGCGCCATTAGGCTACACTTTTTCGATTTCCAACTGCACAACACTACACACGGGCGTCGGGTCTTACTACCCAGAGACCAGGGAAATTACTAAAAGTCTGCGCGTGAAAAAATCCCAGCCTTCACCGGAGTTTGAACCTGGGACCTCTAGCACTTGGGGCAGATGCCATATCTTAAGGTATTATAAGGATGCATTTCTTTTTGAACAAATCTGAGAGAAGGTAATTTTTTAAAATTTAAGATTCTTATGGGATGAATGAGTTAAAAGACAAAAATAAAGATTTTTCTGTTTCACTATCAACAGGAAAGATTTGATTGCTGAGCAGAGAGAGTATAAGAGAAAGAAGTCGCTGAAGAAAGCTCAGAGAATGAAGCAGTTGGATGAGGAACATGAACAAGATAAAAACAAGTGGATAGACTTTAACCACAAGGTCAGTTTTATGTATTGACTCCCAGTTAGAAAAGGTCAGTTTCATGTATTGACTCCCTGTTAGAAAAGGTCAGTTTCATGTATTGACTCCCAGTTAGAAAAGGTCAGTTTCATGTATTGACTCCCAGTTAGAAAAGGTCAGTTTCATGTATTGACTCCTTGTTAGACAAAGTCAGTTTCATGTATTGACTTCCTCTTAAACAAGGTCACTTTCATTTATTGACTCCTTGTTAAAGTCAGTTTCATGTATTGACTCCTTGTTAAACAAGGTCAGTTTCATGTATTGACTCCATGTTAAACAAGGTCACTTCCATATATCAACTTCTTAGACAAGGACAGGTTTATGTATAGACTCTTTGTTTGACATATCAGTTTTATATATCAACTTCTTAGACAAGGTCAGTTTTATGCATTAACTCCTTGTTCCAGAACTTAAATTGTGCATGCATGTTCCCCCCCCCCCCTTTTTTTTTTAAATAACACATCAGGCTTACTTGAATGCCATCTGTTAGTTCCTTGTCTCTCAGGCAGATGCACTCTGATTTGGAAGGAATTTATGGTTGTACGCCAGATTGGTTGTGTCTGTGTACAGGTAATGTCAGGCTTGAGCACAGGGTTGTGCAGACGGTCTGGCACTTTAATAGTCCTCTCGACAGCTCCGGTTGATTTATCGTCAGTTATGTGACCAGATTTGGTCGTCTGGGATATGCTTGTGTGTTCTTGACCTGCTTGTTTCTTGTTTTGTTCCAGACTTTTTCCAAGACCAGCAAAGGGAAAGTCAAGAAAAGTATCTTTGCCACGCCAGAGAGCGTCACGGGGAAAGTGGGCGTCGGCACGTGTGGGTCGGGCGGCAAACCCATGACGTCATACCAGCACCAGGAGAAGTGGAAGAAATGATTGTCTGGTGTGGGTACGGGTGGGAGTGCATGATCATGTGTGAGAGAAAGGTAACCTTCATTGGTACGATGTGTTTTACTTGTGTGGGAGTGCATGATCATGTGTGAGAAACAGTAACTTTCATTGGTACGATGTGTTTTACTTGTGTGGGAGTGCATGATCATGTGTGAGAGAAAGGTAACCTTCATTGGTACGATGTGTTTTACTTGTGTGGGAGTGCATGATCATGTGTGAGAAAAGGGTAACCTTCATTGGTACGATGTGTTTTACTTGTGTGGGAGTGTATGACTTGAAATGTTTTGATGAGAGTGGCATTTATTTTATAGAGTAATAAAGTCAAGGTTAAAGTGAAGAGAAACGACTTGATTGCGCCGGGTTTTATCCCATTTGGCTTGGTCTCTCTCCAGAGAACGGCTAGCCGCCTACCGATAGCGTCACACAGCTCACAGACTCCCTAGCTCCAGCAAAGATCCTCTTAAAAATTGCACTCATGAACTGAACGAGGCAGCCGTGAATCGAACCCACGACCTCCAGCGTGTGATGCAATAGGCCTGACCCCCCTCTCCAGGGAGACCTCTATCTGGTAATCTGGTAATCCTAGTTTCAGCTTCATAGCAAACGGGTCACCCCACAGATGCTCCGCTCCTGTGCCAATGAAAAACAAACGCAGCTCACAGTGTCACGCCATGTACTCAACTCAGAAGCTGGGCGACGATATGAAAATGTGTAGGAGAGATGTGTGTACATATTACAAAAATGTGGTTAATGTCTTTGTTATGAGTGGATGAGTTTGTGGATCTGGGGCCTTTTTAAAGGGGTGGAGGGGGGAGGAATAGATCCACCCCCCCCTCCCCCCATCAAAATTCAAGTTTTGGAAAACAAACAACTCTCGAAATTGACAGGTAACCAAAAGTTTCAGCCGGAGTTTACAGCCAGTCAGTGCAAAGAAGGAGAAGAAGGATGTTGAAGCTATGAGGGGCATATGTGTTCTGTGGTTAGCATATGATGGTATCGCTGGTTTGGAGAGAAGGGTACCTGAGAGTTCAGGGTACCCCATCTCTTACATGTATTGAAAAAGAGGTACAACTCACGTTTTCGGGCCCAGGGACACTGATTGGCCGTTCATTGGTGCATCTTAACCTTTCACGCGTGCGACTTTCTCTTACCGGGGTGTCCGGTTGTATAGTCTCCTACACTATCAGCGGCGATATCCTGCGTTCCATACTACATGATGTTACCGCCATTTTCAATGACCCCGTAACATCTGAAACTCACTAACTCCAACCCCCCTAGGGGACAGCCTCAGCTTAGGTCCCACGAGAGAGAGTGCATTCTACACCCCTTGGTTTCAGACTCTTTAAAATTTTGCGGTGGCCCCCAAAACACTGTGTCACCCACCACCAAACAAAACAACCTGACACCCCTGTGACAGAGAGTCTGGTGTGTGAAAGGTCAGGAAGGATAAATAAACGACCAATTATGTCGTTGAGCCTGAGTTGGTGAGTTGTTCTAGAAAAGATTGTTGTATATCCTTGTACTAGATCTTGCGGAATCACTCGCAGCAGTTTTAAGCTTATGATTGGCCCGGCTCTCTAGCGAAGTTGGTTAAACCTGACTTTCGCAGCGGCCGGGTGACGAACTCCTTGTGGTCCGGGTTCACTCCCGGGGGTAGGCAGAAAAGCCACATTTCTCCCAGATTAACGGTACCTATAATAGAATCAATGCCGAAGGGTTGCGATATCCATAGTACCGAACCAAAGGGTTTACAGCTCATGGTTTCTGGATAAGTAAAAAAAAAAAAAAAGCTTATGATTGAGGTCTGTTGAGAGGTGAGGCAAAGATATACAAAAAAAAAATATATTTTTTTTTTCATTGATAATATTCTTTAACTGGCCAAGGCATTCATTACTGGAAGATTTCTGAAGAAAGTGTATTGTGTCCTGTGTATAAATCATGTGGTTTTACTGATTAAATTTTTATTTCATCAAAGTATGTTTGCCACTTTTGTCTTTTCTGAGAAGTTTGTGTAATTTACCTGGTGGTAACTGAAACCTCATCGCTGCAACCAGTCTTGAGCAAGTCTGTAAAGGACTTGAACCCTTCAGGCATCATTCAGCTGCTGTTGAAAACTCTGCCCTCCATCCTCATTTGCAGAAATTAGGAGAGAGAGAGGGAGAGGGATTCTGTATGTGTGTATGAAAATATATACTTTAAAAGTTACAAGTTAGATTTTGTGAGGGCCTTTTGGGAACGGGTAAACAGTTCGGAGGCGCAGATGGATCATTACGGTCTGAGGAGAATGGCGCTGTGAGGAGTTACCAGGGAAGTCTGGCCGATGCTCAACACTCTGGGGAAGGATGAGACGGATATACAATCAGACGGTTACTGGTTCCATCAGAAGTGGAACTCTTCGCTTGCTGCTGAAAATGGGGACTGAGCTCTTATGGGATCTTAATTCAACATTTATTTTAAAAGTTACAGGATGTTGCAGAACCTATTCCAGTATTTTTAAGCTTATATTTAGTAGTTTGCCATTGCTCTCTCAACGGGAGGCTCTTGATACCACTCTTGAAATCAACGCAAAGTAGTCTGCTGCCCATCCGTCTACAGCAAGAATCAAATGGGATATCCTGGAATTTTGAAGCGCTATCAAATGGGATATCCTGGAATTTTGAAGCGTGTTTACATTGCCTAAGCCACACACACACAGTGTGATACAAGTGAACGATAGATATACAGTTTTAGGATCTACAAGAAAGCAAAGCATATGTTGCTAATGGGTTGGGAAGTCTATTTATAACATGACACTCCCCGTGTGGGAAAACAAAAATAGACCCACTGCCTACCCAAAAGCATGTCGTAAGAGCTGACTAATTGGGAGCTTCCTTCAAAGTTGAAATGCATCTGCCTGAAAGGAAACGAGAAAGGAACCAGCAATCTGCACACAAATGAGTCAGATCTGTAAAACAGATGCACACGCAACACTGAGGTTCTGGAACAGGACTGCAGTCCAGAAGTGGACGAACAACCAGAACTTTTGGCCAGAGTTTACAGCTGGTGAACGTGAAGAAGAAGAAGAAGATCATCACATGACACATTGGGTGGTGGGGTGGAAAGTTCTGATTGTTTGTCCACTTGTGGACTTTGGTCTTGTTTCAGAATTGAAGGTTTGCATGCACATCATTTAAGAGACCTGACTTATGTGTGTGCAGACTGTTGGTTCCTCACCTCTCAGGCAGACACTCTGATTTTGAAAGAATCAGTAGAGAAAGATTATTATTATTATGGCCTGGAGAGAATAAGGCACCTGGGTGTAACCAGAGGGTCTGGCCAGCTCACTACACTCAGAGGAAAGGTAAGACAGACTTTCAACCAGTTTGTGACCGATACGATCAGTATTGGAACTCTGCGCTGGCTGCTGAAGATGAGGACGGAGCGTGCATGGGAATGTCCCAAGTGCTGTGAGTACTTTGAAAGAAACACCTCTAGTTATAGTTAGCTGACTTTTAGAACATGCTTGTTGGGGGAGGGAGGGGGAGTGGGTTCAAACACTCCCCCCCCCCCCCCCCCCTTCCCCCGGCAACGTGACAAATTTTTGTGTGAGTCAAAGGTTGGTGTTTATTTTTCTCAGTACAAAAGATTTTCACCTGTGTATCAGGAAAATAGTTGTATCAATAAATAATAATGTAACAACACCTACATGTACCAAATAATTACGGCCTACTTATATCTTGACTAAACAGAACATCTGAGAGGGGGAAAAAATATGTAACATTGATTCAAATACACAGACATTTGAGAAAAGATTTCATTCATATACACAAATATTTGGGGACAAAAATAAGTTTAGTACAGCTTACAGATGATACATAATCATCTCAATAATTATACAACAGATCAGTCAAATCATAATTGACTTATATGAAACATCTGACAAATAATTGCCCCATTACATGTAAGATCTGTCACATATTTACGCTACATACTGGATCATCATTATCATCATCATTATCACATGAACTGGTGTAGGCATTCATGCATCCACCAATGAAATATCTCCTTGCCACTGGCACAATCCATTTGTTGTCATCTCTCTCGGTCTGCATCTCCCTTTTCTATTGTCTTCTTCCCAGTTGTCACAATATTCTCAACCCCCCCCCCCAATCATCAATTCATCTCATCAAATGACAAATCTGTAAAATATAATGATCAAATGAAAGGGCAGATGTGGCATCAACTGGTGGCCTGCGGGTCAAATCTGGTCCACGGAGCACCAAGAAGTGGCCCGCGGATCACTGCCAGCTGTATATTAACAATAAACTTTGCCTTCTGTTCTGGCATCTGGCCCGTGACGATCCACATTTTTAAAGTTTTGACCCCTGATGAAATTCAATTTGAACAGCCCTGGTGTATGGTGTGAAATGATCACCAATGATGGAGATAACAAGTCAAGAACTAGGAGATGGTGAGGTCCAGAGCCATCTTAACAGCATTATGGGCCCCTGGGCAAACCAGTGTGCTGGGGCCCCTACGACAAGCGCTCACATGAATAAAACAAAAATGGGTGATAATATTAAATGTACACACAAGATTAGCATCAAGTGCCCAGCAGGCCCCTGTGTTAAGATGGCCCTGGTGGGGTCCCACTACAAATATCTACAAGTCTGGCCCAATTAGTGTTGATGATATCATTTACAAAGAAGCCCTCAATCAGTGGCAAAGATGAAGAATCAATTCATAAGAGTGAAAAGATTGCCACAGACACATGGTAAAATAAAAATAAAAACAACAAAATGGTTAAATTTTTCATTGTTAAAAACCCCATTTAGTAAAAACAACTAATCATTTGTAAATTAAAAATTCTGACACAAGTATACATTCATGATATAGATGGTTGAATTCTTCACTGTGTTAAGGGAGCAAAGGCTATGTATATTTAGAAAGGAAAAGGTCCCTTTATATGCCAGGTGCATCGGGCATCTGTGACCATACGAATATTT